TACAAAGCCTTCAATAAATTTACTCAAAAAATAGTGTTCCCTAATCATTTAAGGGCCATTTTTCTATAGACCTCCATTGCCCCCAACTTTTGCATGATCCATGACTGCAAGGATCATTTTAGAAACTAGAAATGATTAGAAATGACTAGCAAAGAACCAGTAATATATCTATGCATGCCAAGCAAGCACATAAATGCACTTTCCCTCCTACACCATATTTGATGACATAGATTAAAATATGATCCACTGGATTCTACACAATGCTAATTTGAGCAGACTTTTGCTGACAGACAGGTGAGCCTACCACTGTAGACCTCAACTTTTGAGTCTGATTAGGGAGCATGTTTTCAGGAATTCGTGAAAAAGTATTGATCAGGCTGAATTATTTTGTGATTTGGATCTGTCTTTCAGGCTATTAATTTTAGTTCTTAATTACTGGGGGTGCAAACCAATAATTTATTCATAGATAAGTCATCCAGAGATTTCTTAAAAACAAAATGTTGCATACAGAACTAAATAAACAGGTTCATCTTATTGGTCTTTCCTCATGAGACTACAGTTTAACCTGATTCTTCCTTCAAGCTGTGCATTCAAGAATTATAACTAAGATGGAAGCAGGGGAAATAGAATATCTTCTTGTGCTATTTATATGTACTGCATAAACTACATTGCTCAAAGAGCTTGGATAAACTTCTCTTAAATATTTGAATACTAACTAGAGAAAGGCCTGTTCAAACACAAGCACTCCAACTATTTCTATTCAGATTGGCTAGAATATTTAAAGTACATTTTACTCAGGATCACTTCCAGGCAAAACATATTGAAATAGGAGCAGAAACAGATTTATCTGGGCCTGTTGTTAATGATGACAGAAATAATGCCCTTAGTAGGCAGATCATTGATCACTTGTCCGGGGACATGGGAGAAGCTTCCCACGGGATGGTAAAACATCCAGGCGCCTCCTGGGTAACATCCTTGCAGATGGCCAATTCTCTCACACCAGAAGTGACTTGCAGTTTCTCAAGTCGCTCTTGACATGAAAAATAATGATCAGTTACACTGGCCTCATACTATGGTATTAATTCTGATGCAATTACAGTCATGTAAATAAATAAATATAAGTAGTCCGTGAATTGCCCCCTGCTAGTGAAGCAGATGTCCCAGGCATGACTCCATTGTGAGAAGCGAGCAAAGTTGGTTTCATTTCATCATTATAATGAAGCCTATGGAGAAAGTCTGTTGTCCTTATTTTGCCTGTTCTTGGCAGCAGTGGTGTTCAAAAAAGCATGGAGCTCCAGATGCCAAAAGCCGTTGCAACTCTGGAGGGCAGGGAGGCTCAGGCTGGTTTGTTGATCCTGTAAAAAGAGTTTCTCTCCAACCCTTTCCCCTTTCATCAACAGAATAGCTCTGATTTGTTAATACCCTCCTGCCTCTTCACCACATCATAAGAGACATTAAAGAAATAACGAATGGTTGAATATTGTGATCAGATCAGCCTTACTGAACAGAATATGTTTGTAGAGGAAAAATAAATAGCCTCACACAGTGGTATCAACAATGTGGTAAAAAGAACTGTTGTACTTCAAGAGGGAACATTTAATGAATTCGAGGTTCATTGCCTATAGCCAGAGGCCACCATAGTGATGAACTAGTTTGTTGCAGAATGAGCTTTCAAGGGCAAGAATGGAATAATATGGTGGCAGCTATATATAACTTAGATTGTGTTACACTAAAGGATAAACTAAATTAACAAAAATGGAAGATAATGGGAATGCAAGCATAACCTAAGCATTTAATGAATGCAAGAAATGGCACAATCAGATATGTTGTTTTGTAGAGGGGAAAAATTGGCTGAGAACCCCAGCTAAAATCTTGGGAAATGCTAATAGCTTTTGGTTTTACATGTGCCCACTTTTAATAACTCTTAAATAATTTCAATTTGTACAGTCAACTCTGAGGTCAGCAGCTGGGTGATAAGAAAGATTGAAAGAGTTGGGTTGCTGTGAGTTTTCTGGGTTGTATGGACATGTTCCAGTAGCATTCTCTCCTGATGTTTCACCCACATCTATGGCAGGAATCCTCAGAGGTTGAGGGATCTGTGGAAACTAGACAAGTGAGGTTTATATATCTGTGGAATGTCCAGGGTGGGAGAAAGAAAGGGTTTTCCACTGGTTTCTGTACTTTTCCTTTTAAATAGCTATTTGTGATTTTAATGATCTTAGCTAGAGACTTTCCCATTTGGCTTTCTGATAGTAGGGAGCAGCTTTCATTTTTATGAGCTCAACTTTGGTATTTATATTAAAACTTTAGGGCTCATCAGCCTTTAAAAGATACAAATGATAACTCAAAGCATTAATCTGATAGCCTGTGCCATGCCATGAACTATTCACTTTGATGGCATGTGATTTAAGTGTGCGTGAATGAGCTCTTAACCAGTAAATAACTTAGGTCTGTCTCCTTGAACTTTTCCAAGCACAGGCTTGGAGAGGAATTTTAGGGGCTCACAAATACTTGTTTCAGGCACTTGAATAAAATCTGACAAGATGTAAAACAAGAACTGCTGGTTTCACTCCTTGACAGTCTTAACAAATAGCTAGATATTCATCCTAGATGTACTCTCTCTTCCATTTAATTTCTGCTTATGGAACGAGAACATTAGTAGCATGCAGGGAATGAGGAGGTCTGTGTCATGACTCCCACTTTGACTGGCAACCTGAACCCTCACACTGAACAAGGTGGGGAGAAAACAACCATGACTGGTAGCTGAGATAATAGAATCATAAAGTTGTAAGAGGTCACATGGGCCACCTAGTTCAACTCCTGGATAGAGAGCCTATTGACCCCGTGAACTGGGAAATCAGTAACTTCTGAGACAATAGATCTCATTCCATAGCAAGGGCTCTGTCTATCTTGATGTCTGTTCTTCAGAGTAGGCACTGAATTGCACAGTGTATACTCATGATTGTAAAAAAAACAGAAGGAGAAGAAGAGGGTAAGTTATTATCAGGATAAATCTTTTTCTGAGGTTGAGACAGGGAAATTTAATGTTTTTGATTTGCTTTGAATTGTATTGTTTGCTATTGTTTTGTTGAGGCCTTGGCCTTTGTAAGCCGCATCGAGTCCTTCGGGAGATGCTAGCGGAGTACAAATAAAGTTAATAATAATAAATAAATAATAAATAATCTGGTTATGAAGTAGTAAAAAAAATCAGTTCGCATTCTAAAGAATGTATCACATATTCCAGGAATCTATTAATATTGCTAGATTTTTTTTAAAAAATCTAGGATACACAAATTAAGAAATCTCTCCTCTGAATGCAGTAAGCAAAACTGGTCAGACCCACACCCTGTCAAACACCATGAACATGTACAGAAAATGGCGCTATACATATATGGCAAAGACTCCATCTTTGCAGTTGTTTGCATTGCACATCTTGATGTTATGGGGCAGGGATAGTTGCCACATGTTACATCAGGCACATGCTAGTTGGTACAGTCTCACTCTATAATGCAGTGGTTCTCAACCTGGGGTCCCCAAATGTTTTTGGCCTACAACTCCCAGAAATCCCAGCCAGTTTACCAGCTGTTAGGATTTCTGGGAGTTGAAGGCTAAAAACATCTGGGGACCCCAGGTTGAGAACCACTGCTATAATGCATCACGTAGAATAGAGAAAGCATTCTTCCAAAAAGGTGCTCACTTGGAGCTCTCCAAGGTTCTGCAATTTGACCTGCTTTGCTCACTGCCTTAAGCTTCTTGCCAGTCAGGACAGAACAGTTTTCCCTATCTGCCTTTCTTTGTTTCTCTTCCCCTCTCTCTCTAATGCTGATTAGTGAGGGGTGGGAAATGTGTTGGGTTTACATTCAGAGATGAAATTCCTTAATGTGCAGCTCCCAGTACTGAAAACAAATGCAGGCTGGTGGGAACAATTTGTGAATGGGTATTGTGAGAGATTATGATCCAGATTCCTTGGCAATGCACTAAAAATATTCCAAGTCCTTTCTTAATTTTTTGATTATTTCCATGTTACTCTGGAACAAGATAGGGTCCATCTGATGCTTCTTTATTTAGATTGATCTTGATTCCTCAGCTGATGAAGAAAAGGGGAGAAACTAGAAATGGAGTTTCTTTCATGGCTTCCTTCCTTTGATATTTGAGTTGAGTGTGATCTTCAATGAGCCATTTAATTTCTACAGTCCCATACACACTTTTCTTTCTCCCTCTGTTATACAATGTTATGAGTAGTAGTGAGAGTAATTGGGAAGTTCAGTGAAGCAGACAAAAGTGGGCAGATGAACTCTATGCGCTGGACTCCAATTACCAACTATTTCCAAAAATAGAAAAGGAGAGGCTGGTACAGTAGAATGCTACCTAAGCCTTGGTTAATCTTTAGAGCTATTAGGGAAAAAAATATTACTATGACCAAAGCCAGATATTTTGTCTGTGGCAACAATAGTAGCTAATGTTAATAATGATGACTGGAAAAATAAGGCATAATCATTAGCTAAGTCAGCAGTTTCAGCAGCAATAGATTTTCATGCCACTGCAGTAAAGAAGTAATAAAAGTTTGTGTTCATTTTGGCATCATTTTAAATGAAAGATTCAGAATTACTAGGCCTGCCAATCTCAGGTAGAACTTAGTTGTTTCATCTGTGTGATTGAAGAAGGAAAGAAAAGAAAGTTATGGTGCCTATGTGTGCTTTAAAGGATATGTTGATGACATTGCCTTACCACAAGCTACTTCCAGTGGGAGAGTGAATTCTATGAACAGAAAAAATGGAGTAGCCATGGGAAACCCTCTCAGCCCGGTCATAGCAAATTTCTGCATGGAACACTTTGAAAAACAAGCTCTGGAAACAGCAACAAAAAGCCCACCATATGGTTCAGATATGTGGATGACACCATCATTTGGAGCCGTGGACAAGTTTACATAGGGACCACCAAATGCAGCAATGCCCAAACACAAATCAAGGAACATGAAAGGCACTACAGACTAATTAAACCTGAGAAATCAGCCATAGCAGAGCACCTGAAAATGAACCATGAAAATGAACAAAATATGGCTACCAGTATTTAAAAACTCTAAAATCAGGACAGTAAATAAAGAGCAACACTCAAAAAGTAGGAGAATTCCAGACAAGACTCAATCAGGGCTAGCTAACACCTACCAACAAAGGATTCCCCCAGGCAGCAACCAGCCAGGTTTTGAAGCTGCAAGGTCATTAAATAGTAATCAAGGTGTCCATTTGCAACATTCACACTTGCCTCAAGCAGACAAGAGTTCTTTTTGGCCTGAAAAACTCTCAGCAATTCAGTGATTCTAGCCATGAAAGCCTTTGACAACATGTTGATTTCATTGTTCTAAAAATCAGTATGACTCTTACTGACAAATTTGTTTATTTATTTATTTACTTTATTTGTATACCGCACTCTCTCAGCCCGTAGGCGACTCAGTGCGGTTTACAGCCAGGTCAATATACAAAGTGCACAACATTAGCAATTAAAACAGTATCTAAGGCAACTACATCAATATAACAATACATCAGTACATCAATATAACATCAATACATCCATATAACTAATCCATCATGTCTCATCAGTAAAGTCATAATCCGATCTCCTCGTCCATTATTCCAAGTTCCAAGATCAATCAATTAATTGCACTGCTTAATTAAACGCCTGTTCAAAGAGCCAGGTCTTCACTCTTCTCCTGAACGCCAGCAGGGAGGGGGCCGATCTAATATCTGCGGGAAGGGCGTTCCACAGCCGAGGGGCCACCACTGAGAAGGCCCTGTCTCTCGTCCCCGCCAGCCGTGCTTGTGAGGCTGGCGGGATCGAGAGCAGGGCCTCCCCGGACGATCTTAATGTCCTAACTGGTTCATAGGGGGTGATGCGTTCGGACAGATAGGTCGGGCCAGAACCGTTTAGGGCTTTAAAGGCTAAAGCCAGCACTTTGAATTGTGCCCAGTAGCAAATTGGCAGCCAGTGGAGCTGGCGCAACAGAGGAGTGGTGTTTTCCCTGAGGCTAGAAGGCTAGAAGGCTAGAAGCGAGCATATAAGGCTAGAAGCGAGCATATATTGCTAAATTTTACTAACTGTCCGTAATTTTGTCTTTTTTGAGAGAAGGTTTTATGTCTAACTATATTAAATGTGTATGTGGCACCAATTTATTTATTTTTGTTTATTTACCATATTTATACCTCGGGCTTCTCACCCCTTAGGGTACTCAAGGCAGCTTACATATTTAGGCATAAAATATGTAAGCTACCTTTGGCATACGTAGTAAAATAAACAAATTCATTAAAAGAACCATTAAAAACATATCAAACCTTAAAACCACTTATTTATTCTTTGTGAATATAATTACACTACATAACTGTGAAGTCTTGGCTCTGCCTTTTCCTCTCCTCTGCTTCAGTTCCCCCTGTTCATAGGTTTTTCCAATAGTGTACATACCTTGCTTTGTATTAGTTTTGGGTGAAGCGTAAAATCCCTCCAGAGGCCAGAATTAGTTGGTCTATTCCATTTCCCTGTATAGAGCTCTCTTGTTGGACTCCTCCTTTTTCTACAGTCACTAGAGGCTAGGGGCATTGTCTGGTATCCTAGGCCCAAGCAATCAAAAAACAAGCATCCTTAGCACCTGCATTCAATAGTATTTTTATACCATCAGCCCAAAGGAGAACAGAAGTTTATGACCAGCTTAAGCTTCGTAAGAAAGAAGATTGAGACAGTTTACAACCATCGCTTTGCACCAGAAACAGAAGACTCCAGAGAGATGAGTGCAACCAGCAAAGACTCCTTTTGTAATGTATTGTTTTAAGTTACCTTATGATATCCCGGGTGGAGTTAACCCTTTATTTACCTTGTTTGCAGTAAACTCATTTTGGTTATCTTTTCACCTTGCCTAAAGTGCCTCTGTCTGCTAAGGGTCTTAATCTTAACAGGTATACAGATAGCCCCCAAGTAAAGCCAGACACTAGTTTTCCCATAGGATTGGGCGTGCCATCACAATAACAACATACGAAACCTTTCCTGTTTTGGTTTGAAAGGGTTATTTCCTGTTTATTTGTGCAATATTTACTTTGAAAGTAGTTGCTATACTCCAAAAACTTAATTTTTGTGGTTTTCACAAACTATGTTGAGTTGCTTGAGACTCTATGAGATATTTGAAAAACAAGAGCAAATGTCACAATGAAAACATTGGTTGACAATAACCTGACAAGGTAGGGGAATGCAGGAGTAGCACAAACATTTCCACTAAAGTTATGCCATGCTTATATTCCTCATCTATCTAAACCACCTGTTCCTTTCTTTTTAAGATTATAAACTTATATTTGATAAGATGCCTGCAATGCTCTAGTGTTTGTTATTTCAGTGAGATAATAATTTTAAATTCTTTCTTAATATTCTGAACATCCTCTATCTTCTCATACTATTCTGCTTTGTTAGTAACCCAGTGTACAATGAAGCCAGATTCACTATACCCTTCCTTTCTCCAAAATGCCATAGCTGTCAGCTAAAAATATTACAACAACAATTTCTAGATTTATTTTGTGATCTATTGTTACTCGCTTTTGTGCAGCAAATGATGGATATCATTCAGCAGGGATGGCTTAGAAAATGATAGCAGTCTGAGTAAATCTCACTCAGAATTAAACATTGTAGATTAGATAGGGTTTGTGCCAGATTTTCCCTCCCTGGATTCAGTGTAAGACTCTGACCCTTATGATTTTACAAAAGTGGGTCACATTTTCTTTACATGTATGCCTGGTCTTCTGACATTTTGCCCAATGCCAGTAGTAGCAGGCAAGGTTTTTATCAGCTGCTGCCAAAGAGATAACTACAGCTTTTGAATTTCAATAAAGAGTGTAATTGAATGGACTGTTTCTTCAGAAAATAACATTGTGTGCCAGCTGCTCTACTTTATATTGGAACCCTGAACTTTTCCTGTAAAACCGGGCCTGGCTCAGAGAAAGCATATATTTAAAAGCCTTTTGACAAGCCACTGTAATCAATGCACGTACCCTGAACATGTTGTTTTCCTTTCAATTGTCCTCACTTGCAGGATGACAGATGTAGCATTCTGTTCAGGATTTATATTTTCATACTTCAAATTTACCCCATATCAAAACCATGATAAAATATGTTGTCATGTTTACCCTTATTTATATATGATTTAGTAACATGATAGTGGACTGGTTTGGAACAGAAAAGGTTGCATGTGTAATATTGAAGTCAGTTAAAAAAAACACCAAAATAAACAAAAACTCTTATCAAGTTAAAAAAATGAATCCCAAACAGCAAAGGTAAAGCAGTCCAAACAAATAACTGTTCATATTGCAATGTTCTCTTTAGGCTGAAACCCACAAGGTAGATTAATAAATTTCTTTTGTTCCATGACCAAGGGCTATATTGTTGCTTGGAATGAACTATGTTGTTTCTTGGAAAAGAGGCATGACTCAGAGTAATTGCTCGTCAGACACCAGGCTTCTGCCCACAGAAAACCCAACATAAGGGAGGTTAAATGAGAAATTGCACATGACTGTATTCCACAGAGCCCTAACAATCTAGTAATCTTCACCAAAATCTGCTTTCTGCAAGCATATGTCATATCAGAAATACCTTTCTTCTTTATTGGTTTTGTTGATACTCTCTTTCCCCTGGAGAGTCAACCCTCAAGAGCTGATGGTCCATCCATCTGCCTTCTCTGGGGAAAAATATTGGTCAACAGATTTGTTTATGTATTTGCCCAATTTAGAAAGCCTCAGATTTACTTTTTTTCAAAAATCAGAGTAACCTGGGAAGGCAGATATACTAGGGCAATGGTTCCCAATCTTTTTTTGATCAGGGCCCACTTGAACGGGGACTACTTCACCAGGGACCACTTTGACCAGGGACGACTCTCCAACATTAGTACCAGAAAAGGTGGGGCTGGTTAGCTCTCTGGAAAGGAGTAGAAATAAAATAAAATAAAGAGAAAGAAGGTTTGCAGACCAGATTTTTGTTCTTGCTGCCCTCTGGTGGGTTGCAGCCCACAGGTTGAGAACCACTGTTCTAGTGGGTAGCAAGTCTGCATGGGATAGTCCAGTAGTGGTAGAATGGACTGCAGTGGCTGTGTTTAAAGAGCTGTATTTTCCTTTCTACTGTGCTCCTTCTTCCACTTAATAATTATGGAGACAAAACTAGTTGAGTTTGCATACGGATGACAGTTAGTTACCCTAATTTGTATTTCCCAGAATGGAAAAAATGTGGGCTGGTGGGGATAATCTGAGGACATTTCTAGTAAGAAACAGTGATTTGAATTCTTTGGCAATACTTGAATGATTCATGTTCTTTCTCATCTTTTTTAAAAAAGCAGTCAAGTTGCCTCCATGTTGATCTGAGGTCAAGTGGTCATTGACAAGTCCTTCGCTTCTTAGGTCCAGTGGTATTGATTTCCAAACTGATGAAGGAAAACTGGAAAGCAAGAACAGGAATTTGACGCATTGCTTCCTTCTTTTGGTATTTGCTTTCAATTTGATCTTAAATGAGATTTCTACTTCCATAGCCTCATGTGCACTTCCTCTCTGTGACAGTTTTAGTAAGAGTTGTTGCAAAGTTTACATAACCCCCTGCCTTAGATTTAATTTCTAAATAAGATGGAATTTCATATTTACTGGTGGGTAGACAGACTACAGTGAAGAACCAAATGGTGGCAGAAAGAACTGTAACTAGGTTTAGGATGAGGATGAGCACTGCTGTAATAGGTGATATTGGCCTACATGAAATCACTAGTATAAATTAAGGAGACCCATTGAATCAATGGAATTGACGTAAGTGTTCATTCAACAGGTTTCTATTGATTCAGTAGGGCTACGGTACACAGGACTAGCACTTGGATTTAAGCCATAGTCTTCAAGCATAGTTTATAGTTATTTTAATATATTCATAGTTTGCCATTTTGTTTCAAGAGACTGAAAAATGGTTCCTTATAGTTAATATTGTAGAGCATAGAAATGAGCCGTGTTTCCAACCAAGTCTGTAAATTAT